CGAGGCGGAAGCAACCAGTTTTTTCCGCTTCGTCGGGATTAACCGGCGCTACTTGGCGCCATTGAAGTCGCAGGTGTGAAAGATGGTATGATTGTACGTAATGCAGAAAGTAATGTGCAACTGTGATCATGTTTTCTCTTGTCTTTTTTTTGCAACTCAAATTTAAAAAATAATATCGGCATTCGAAATTAGAGACAAAAAAATTCTTTTATCTAATTGTCATTTTTAGTACAAATATCTTTTTTAAAAGCAAAAGATATTTAATAAAATGCAACTCTAAAAAAGATTTATAATTTTATTTTTTGAATACATTGGGAAATAAAGTTTTTCCTTCTATATTCACTTAACTTTTTCCATGATAATTGCATTCTCTTTATCGTTAAAAGAATGAAGAGATCATTTGATGGTGTTTGATACCACTCTGTTGTAAATACTTGTAAGCATTTTGAATATATCTTTCTATACACCTGCGGGAAAATTCTGCTAATTAGAGTTTCTGACTAAAGCGCGAGACATAAGATCAGTGAGAGACAACTAAGAAGAGAAACAAGAGAACGAGAGAGTTACTTCTATAATATTATACAGATGCGACTTCAACATCAAAAGAAAGACAGCGCTGTCGCACATTTCCACCTTTTCTTCTCGCTATAAGAAAATTATGTCCCCCTTGAAAACAGAAGGAAAGTGTTTTATGACAAAACAAGAATATATATACATACATAGTATTTGAAAATCTGCGAGATGTTTTGTGAATTGCCGAGTAGCTTCTTTTTTTTCCTCCATTAAAATACAAAAAAATTTTTCAACTGCTTTTAAACTCATTTTCCACTTTGCTATTTTTCTTGTTAAAAATCGTAAAGACTAATCAACATCGTATTATCTCGTAAAACATGACTAAAACAAACAAAATATTTTCACGCACGAGCAATTGAATAATGAAGAGATAAAAGAGTTCGTCAAGAGTTCGTGCGAGAGGAAACAGCAGAACGAAAGTACAAATTGCATATAAAATCCAAGATTTAACTTCATCCCTCGATCGGGCCGACGAAACCCCTCAGTTCACTGATATGATAAACACCCGAAATGACAGCGGCATCCGCCCTTTTCCTCACCCTTTTCCTCAATTCTCCTCGCTTTCTAGTTAATCACGTCAGGCGGACGAACCCTCTGATTAAAACAACCCTCCGTCCCTTCTTATTATTATTGTTATTAGAGAAGGCGAATGCAAGGCACTTCGGGAGAACGGTTGGAAGAGATGTTAAGTCGCCATCCTATATCTAGATACTGTACGCGAATACGCAGACCTTTCTGATTGTCAGAATTTTCGGGATTATTAAACGGCTGATGAGTCGAAGAATGAGATCCGCGCAGTCAACTCTTAATTAACTTTCACATTTTATGATCAGTCGTGTATTTATATACATATACACACAGAAAGAATAGTTTCTGAAAAGTCTAAATTTAAAATTGGATACAGATACAGATCTGAAAATAATTTTACTAGACTGTCAAAATAATTATTATTATAATTAGGACGCTCAAATTGGTTACTAATATAACAAGTTTTTGCAACATTATTACCATCATTTAAACAGTATTTAATTATTTTGATGATTTAACAAAATTATCTTCAGATTTGTGTTATACCAAAATTTTAAATATTAAAACATTCTTTTTGTGTAATCATTGAGAATATTATTGACTATTCAAATGTGACGTTTGAGAAAATAAAGTAATCATTAAACAAGTTCTTTTGCGGAATAAAAGTAATATTTATCGATAACTCGTTCTTTTAACTGTAAATATATTACATTTTAAATTCTCAAATGCTAATCCTATGTAAATATGTTTATACTACTGATAACAAATTGTCACATTAAAAACAATTTAATGTTACTTCGTTATTACTTAATAAATATAAATTGCGTTACACGATAAAAAATTTTGGCATAAGTACTTAACGGGACCATTATCAAGATAATTACATGTGAAATACGGCGACAAGTATATCTCGAATATTTACATATAAGATTTGGCAAATGACTTTTCTCCGAGTCACAGTGAGATGTTCGTTATCGCACATCCGCGCGCGGTACTCTTATTAAATCAGAAAATTCATTAAGGCCGAGGTTTGGATTACGCTCGAAGGGTCGGTACTTAGCGAGAAGGTGGACTCCCATCGCCATGGGCTGCGACGGGAAGAATTTAGAGCCGGTCGTAACGAGGCGACCACGTAACAAATTACAAATAGTGTCATTGGCTCCTGACGAAGCGCCGGTAACTACGTCGAAGGAACGACTTCTTTCGAGCTCGCGGCAAGCCATCGGCCGTGCCGGCACGAAGATCGCGAGATATCGAACTCCTCCTAACCGAAGAACCGAGATCCGGTTGCGTGCGCAACGATCTATCCTCGGAGCAACCAATCATGCTAATAAACCCGGCGGGCATAAGTAATACGGAACGATCGTAAATCTTGGCGATGCCAATGAATGCACGCGCCAATATCGATGTCAGAGTCGAGGAAAAGGCATGCGGGGAAGAAACAGCGTCAGAGTATCTCTTGTCGGTACTTAATTATAGAAACAGATCTTTCTATTATCGTTGGCTGGAATACTGCGAGAATTATCTTGATGCATGTAGTATCGTATGTGCATTTAATAAAATCGTATGCGCGATACATTTGCTTTTACATACGTTTTAATATCAAAATGAAAATGATCAAATATCCGAAGAAACATCACTTCTTTAAATAACTTTCTTTAAATTACGTTCAGTTTTTGTCTTCATAAAAGATCTGTTTAAAAAAACTCAATTTAATTCGTTTTATTTATTTAAATTACATACAACAATATCAAGATATTCTTTACTATAGATTTCACACATTTTAAAAATCTGAGTTTGCATCTGAAATCTGATTTTCTTTCTAAAATTCTCGTTTCGTTATGCCGCATTGCTGCACCTTACATTCTTTCCAAAGACGAAAGACTTTCGTCGCGTGCTATCGTAGGTGCACAGGTGTGCACATACTCGAATCATCGGCGCAACAAGCTGCTCGTGGAGAAACACGCAACTGAGACATTACATAAGGTCTGCGACGAGGCAAAAAGAGATCGCGAAGAAGTAGAATTGCAAAAGGAGAATGGGCGAAGGAGGAACGAGAAGAAGTGGAAATAATGAGTTCGCACGACGCGACCGAGACCTGCCTTGACGCGTTATAAAACGAGTCCTACCCGCCGGCAATGATTGCTGCCTTGCACGAGCTAATAGCACCCGCGACGTAACGAAGGGTTATGTGGATCACGAGTTTGTTATTGGCTTGCCTAATGACTCGTCTGCTCGTTCTGTCTGTCCGATGCGCGCCACACCGAACCACCAACGACATAAATAATCACCATGTATGGAATGTTGGCGTAACACAAATTTACATGTAAAAATAAAGAGATGTACATTAGAAAATATGTAAATACATTACCTACAATGTCTTCCCCTTTTAAGTTCCTCAGCATCATAAAAAAAAGTTAAACAATCATTTTATACATGTAATGTAGCACATTTTTTTCAGATAAATAAATTCTGTTTAATTTCTGTTCATTAGGTTCCAATGTTAACAAATTTTTATATTAATTTATTATAGGCACTAAAAATTTAGATAAAAACACTTCGATGAGTTTTTTATTAAATTGTATAAATTATTTATAAGTTGTATGAAATATAAATATAAATTATTTATATTATTTTTTTTACGCTTACGGATTTCTTAATTAGACGCATTACATATATAAATTAGATTGTTCTTTCTTCTTCCTTATTATGTTTCTAATGAGACATCATTAGAAGACATCATTAGAAGACATCATTAAAAGACAAACAAAAAAGAGTATCTTAATGATAATTGGATCCCTCGATTTACAGTTACTTTAGCATTCATTCGTCATGTTAGATTTACTTTTTGTAAAGTATCTAGGTCGCGTGCAGAAAAGATGCACCAACCTGCGAGTCAGCCTTGGACTTCAAAGCTATATAGAACGTTTGAATGGTTTGGTTGCAACTCTAATAAGACACTCGACCTAGCGCTGTGCGCGTGTGATTTATTTCCGCTATATTCGAAACGTCAGCAACGTTGGCTTCAACTACTTACCCATCTTAATGAAGCATAAGATCTAATCCATCTAGCATTCATCATAATAAATTGCGAATTATTCATCAAAATTCCATTTTTTTAAATGTACTTTAAAATTAATACAGTCATCATTACTAGTATAAGATACATAAGTATTGAATATAAGTTTATCATAAGACACTCGTTTTAAATTTTAAGAGTCTAAATTTTAAACTATTCTAATATAATCGTTTTTTAAAATTAAGAATCATAATTAAGATCGTTCAATCGACCAGGTTTCACCAAAAATTCATTAGCATTTTGAATTCAACGTAAACGAAATATGCCGACTTTCAAATGTTATTTGTCAGAAAATCGAGAGGTATCATTTGAATACGAAATCTGTTGTAGGCTATTTCAACACGTCGTAAAAATTTGTCGTCAGCTTGCCAGCTGAACATTCCAGATCGATCGACGGGTTATATGATATGATAAGAAAGACATTTTCTTCCAGAACAGTAATGCTGTGAAAATCCTAGCACTAGGATTTTCGTTGATGCCCCCAGGAGATCTCGCGCGGTATCTCGCGCGCGGCCCGAGGCTCTCTGCCCAGAAATCGCAGAAATAGTCCGGGCGAGTTAGAAACTCGCCGCGTTTCAACTTCCGTGCACAGCGCGGCGAGGATGTAGTGTGCGCGCATTGCCGCCCAATAAATTAATCACGAAACTTTCCCAATGTAGAAGTCCGCCGCAAACTAATTTGTTGGCCGGCTCGGAAAGTACGCGCGCGTACGCCCCCCCCTGCTCCCCTCTCACACGTATGTGTGAGCGCAACTTAAGGAATATAATGGGTATGGATGGGTACCAGCGCATAATCATTGCGCATAATCATATTCACTCACCATCGATATTAGACGAGGATTGATCCACGCCTGCTGCATGTTATCGTCGAGGTACCGCTTCGCTATCCGGGCGATGTTTTCTTGCGGTTCTTTCTTCGACACGGCCGATATGGTGGGCGGGACGACAACGTTGGCATTGTTCCTGAGACAGAAACGGATTAACATGAGCATCGATCAGGATTCGGGAACACCTTGTCGAAAGTGAGCGCGGCCACGATTATTACTGCATGATAATTGAGGCGTTCGAAGTAACGGAAGATATTTTCGGCCGACGGCTCAAGTGGGCAGAACCCGAAGATCAAATGAAAAAAAGTATGTCTAGCTTCGGCTAGATGTATGGTATATTTTTAAGGAGTTATAGCGAATCAAATAAATAAATATCAATAATAATTTTTTAAAATATTGCATTATGTCTAATATAATCACATTTCTCTTATGTTATAATTCAATATAAAGTAGTTATGCTAATTTGTAACACTACTACAATTTATGTCGACTTTATGTCTGAATGCCACTTTAGAAAATAGGCGGCACCATGATCATAATCATAGTTGGCATGTAATTTGCTGGAACATTTCGGTGAACGATGTCAGGTCACTTGTGCACGCATGAAATTCTCAGCATGCGTAGAATAACTTCAAAGTCAAAGCACGTGTGTCTCTTCTCGAGAAGAGAACATTCGTGTACGACTGAAACGAAGACTTCGATTTACTTAAAGTACGTCAGAACGTGCCTGAATTTCGCGTCGTCATAGCGCGTACAGTATATATTTTTCCGTTATTATATGTAACATATTTACAATAATAATTCTTCTAATAATTCTTAACATCTATAAACGTCTTAAAATAATGTATAAAAATTATTGTATATCGTATCATATAGTATATTGTATATTATATCGTACATATTATATCATAATTTCACAACTTTTCACAACTTTTCACAAAAATATCCTTGAATATACATATAAAATGCTAAGAAGCTATGAGCATCAATAATAATATAATATTAAATTGTTTATCATTGTAATATTAATTTAAATTTATAATTTTAATTTTAACTAATGCTGCGTTTCAACATCAAACAGTAATCGGCGCACAGTAAAGGGACAAAAATGTATAAAATTCACAAAATATATAATTAAGTATATTTCTATTTTATAACTTCATATATAAGCATATATAACTTCTACTACGCATTCTACAAAAGTTCCAAAAATATAACTTCAAAAATAGAATTGTTCATTATACTGAGTGTCTGCAATAAAAAATGCAAAAAGTAATCTGTTAAAATACGAGAAATTTTACGTGAAAGAAAATTGCATGTATTAGAAATATGCCCGCACACATAAAATCATTGCAAATCGTTATACACAATCCACGCAATATATACCATATATATAAACGCAAAATAAAATCCTTTATAAATACTTTAATTCTTAAATTCTATTTTAATATATCTTTTATTCTGTTTTATCAAAACAATCAACTCATTTGTTTTTATACTGAGAGAGAAATTATTCAGTAAAAATCTCTCAGTAGAAAAATTAATTTTACGCAAATTGCACTTAGAATCAATCGACAACACTAAAATTTGGATAATCATGGGCTGCATGGTGTTAATTGCTATTATTTACTTGGCTAAATTATTAATATGAACGACATTTGACGGAGAATAGCAATCTAAATGCAGAATGGGTGAGGTGGATGTGTAGAAGGCATTGTGGGGCAACAGGCCACGAAATTAACGGTCTCCTGTGCCATACGGCGATGTATCAAACGGAATCTATTGTGCAAACGCCACACCATTGCCACCGTCACCGGCCATCACCATCCGCCAGATTGCACGTTGCACGATGTAGAAACAGCTCGGAATGAGCAGGAGAGGTCGATACGATATCTCCCCGACTACGAAGGATCATTATAACATTGCAACTGTAACTGTCTATCGTCATCTCGATTGAATTAATACAATGATATTCAATGTATTCGAAAGAATGCATAAAAAGAGCATTTTTGCTAAAGTATAAAAATTTAGTCAGATTCAGAGAAAAGACTGAAGATAATTTTGATCATTAAAGTAATTACATAGAATGTTCTAACTTAATAGAATATGTCAAAAATTTTTGAAATGTTATTATTATGCTTAAGAATTTTACATGATTATTTTAATAGTCTAATATTAAATTATTTTGACATCTGTATTCAGCCAAATTTTTAAATACTTCAGCAAAACTATTCTTTCTGTAGAAAAACTATTTACTAAAAAATATTTCATTTCTGACAAAATATTGTAAAATGTGCACAAAAAATAAAATATAAAATATAAAATTATTTTTTATAATACTTATAATAATTATATAAGTAATTATTAAGTACGATCATAAGAGAATTTCCTTCAAATTTCTTACGATCTAAGATGCTATTATTCACCGCATGTGCATTCAAATGACGCGAGGCGCACTTCAGCGTGGCTAGACAGTGACTGAATTCCCTATCGTGCATTCACAATTATCCCATTAATCCTCAGATAGCTTACGCTGCGTGCAGATGTATTTTTTAACTTTCTCGCGACGTCTTCGTAAGATGTACGCACAATCCGTATGCGGCATTGCTTTATGTAGAATTAATTATCCATCTATCCTATAGCAAATTATACCGAAATTTACGTCCATCGTTCGTTTCTGTCAGATTTGATTCGAGAAAGAACTCGGGAGAAAATTCGATCCACGTTATATATCTAAATAATCTCATATGAACTTTTGTCTCAAATTGTGATTCTCGTAAAATAAATTAATAATACATTCCTTTATCTCTTTATCATTTCATATCTTCCGATTAAAACCTTAAAATGTTTGTAGAAAAAAGACTTTCGTTAAAAAACGAACCATTTAGATACCTTTTACATATATGTAGAAAATAACATTTACGTTAAAAATATCGATTATATTTGTTTTTTTCCTATTATTGTAATAAATTGTTATTTAATTATATGTTTTTTTTTTTAATCGAAAATTCACGCTATTCTTGATCCGCTCCTGTTTTCAATGGATTTCATAAAGCATGATCCCGCGCGCGCAATACACGTCTATGAATAATCGCGCGCCCGTGCAAGTATATATACAAACGTTACGAAACACACATTCGCATTCAAATGAGAGAGTTCCTCGATTTGAAACGCGCGTTTAAGCGACGCGCGGAGTGATTGCGAAGCAAGCCGGGGCTGAGATGCGGATACGCCGTGAATATCCCATAAGTGAATTATGAGAGTTTATCGCGACTCCGTCGCCCCGTGCCTACTGTCGTGGCGCAGCTGCCGGTTCAGGCCTCCCCAGTGGGTTAAATTATTGCCAAGATCCCCCAAAACCGTCTAAATTATTGGTCCCGGCTACGGATCAGCACCTCGAACATTTTAAAGACGCAAATGTCTCAAATCGACGACGAGCTCCGTCCGGAATACATACAATCTCGAGCAATTTACCGCGGTTACCTATACGATTATCAGACATTTTTCTTTCGTGAAACAATTTTTGTTTCTATCTTATCGAAACGAAAACACACACCCAATATACTTTTCGCACTTCGATAACAGTAGCTAACAGAGTTAAGTTTGCAGATAAAAAATGCGAATTAAGAGCATATAAAGTTTAAGAATTTAGAATATTCGACTACGTATTGTCGAATTATTTTCAATAATTATTTCATTATTTTTTAAAGAATTTACACTTTGTATCAAAATAAAAAAAAAAAAACGGGCGCGCTACGTAAAATATTTATGTATGCAATCTCCGTGCAGAATAATACATTTCGTTTATCAAGAGTTATAAGAGTATCATCGAATTTTAAATGAAATTTCCATTTCCAATTAACTGTCGTTATACGTTATACTTGTATTCTTGTCATGCATAATATAACATTGAGATGTAATCAATTATTTTTTTTTTTTTTTTGAAATATTCAAACCGATTTAAGTTAACATTTCCTATGAGAATTTAAAGAGACGCTTATACAACGATAATCGATTGATCGGTCGTTTGATACATTCGTATCAACTCGACGAATATAATCAAGATGATCAGTGAAGATGAAAGATGGAAGATGGTACTTTTCTATTCTCCTCATATAAGGTATAAGGTAAGTGTGGGAGTTAATAATACGGAAAATGTAAAAGTAGCCATCTGCGAGGCGAGCACGAGGCGTGAGTAAAGAAGAAGGAACGGTATAAAGAGAGACGATGAGTACGACAAGAGAACCAAGATCGGAAGACCACAGCAGGGAAGATAATCTTCAGGACGTCTCCGTATACCTCCTTTTGCTCGTCTCCGCGTTTTACAGAATCTCGGCAGGACCTCGACAAGAGGCGACCAACGGACGAAATCCGACGCCGAGCCGAGGCGAAGCACGCTCGTTCTAAATCTCCGTAAATGCGTCGCGATCGCCCGGCAGTCTCTCCCTCCTTCTCTCCCTCCGTGTTTTCTGCAGGTGTATCCCCCTATACAAACCTCTCGAGACGGTTCTCACGAAAATCCACGCCGGCCGCTTGCTGAATGAAAATTCACGGTAGACTTGCGAAACTTACTTCATCTCGCGTTCGCGAGCAATGGAGCGAGTTAAACGAAAATGTACGACGCGTTGTGCTGTGCCAAAACAACTATTTTGCTATGTCGCCGAAATAATCTAGAGAAATATTGCATATGTTTTTACAATACAAAAAAGCTCAAATTAGAATATGCTTGAAGTTTCTTGAAGTTTGAGTTTCTTACTCGATAAATTAATTTAAAATTGTGTAACTTGGGCGTCTTATATATGCATTTTCATGTTGTTTAACTACCATTTACACTTATAACGTATACAACATCAACGATGAAAGTAACGAACCTTCGTTCGAATTTTCGTTCGGACTACAACTTATTTTGCCAGAACGCGCGGTAAAGTCAAAAGCCAAGTGGAGGATCCTCGTCACACACTTTATGAGTACCCGAACGATAAACTCGATAATTTAATGAGTATTCTCGCTCAATACTTGTCCATGCACTGTCGTTAAGTCAGTAGCTTGCTGCTAACGTAGCCGATATCATCTCGTACACGAAATTTAAGTGACCATTAAATGACGAATTTTAAGTGACTGTTTCTTTTAGATGGG